CCCCCCCCCCTGCCCCCCCTATTCCTCCTTATTCCTCAAAACACTTTTATTTTCCTTCTTTCTTCAACTGACTCAGCATTATAAAAATAACGTTTTTCCACATCCTTCCCATACAACTCTTTTTATATATTTGAACTCAGGTCTTACCTTTATGGATGCATGTGCATAGAGCATGTCCTCCAGGCTGAAGTGGCAGCAGTGGTTGAGGTTGTTCCTGCAGAACTCCTGCACCAGCTGGAGGTTGTACAGACTGTCAGCCAAAGACATAGTCTCCTTGAGGCAGATATCTGCTCCGCCAGGGGAGGGGTCAGACACAAACACACACGAGGGAGGGGTGGAAGCAAGGGCCAGGCAGGAAGACAAGGAAAAGATAAGGCATAGTTTACATTTAAAGTGAGACTGCCTTTCCCACTAGTATTAGCAGCAGGAGCTGATTCGAATCGCTCACAATCCTTCAAACAGTTATGACTCAAGTTTTCAAACTCCCTCTAGATGAATCATCAGGATTTGTATCCCCTGACGTTACTGTGAGGACGGCCCATGCATGTGTATAATATTAACAAAGAGGAAACAGACAACCGAACATTACAGCAGCTGATTTCTCTGGAAATGATTTCATTTTGTACTTCTTTACTATTCTTAGAGTCAATTAAGCACAAATTAACTAGCTTCCACATCTGGTCCACATGTGTATGAGCGCCCCGTGAACCACATTCAGTCCCGAGAGTCTCAGAGTGCCGGCACGAGAGTTGTTTATCTTTGAAATAGCAGCTAGCTACTCCTCTAACGGTCCTCTGTCACACACCCCTCGTGACCAAACGCAACCCAACCCAGGGCATTTATAGAAATGAGGGCGCAGGCAACTTAAGAGGAAACACAGCTTTGTTTTCCATGTCTGTCCTCAGTCCTCTCTTCTTCTCAGCGTCTTTCTTAGGTCAACACGCTTAACAATACCCTCCATTTATATCATTAAATGTATCCATAGAAAGTCAAAACATTTCCTGAAAAGGCTGCTACACTACCATTACGTGTTTTTATTGAATTGACTTTCTTACATATTCAAAAGGCAAAAGCCCTCAGAAAATGAGTCACACTGATGATAAATATACTCTTTGTTTGAAGCCCTTTATTCAAATGGTTGAAGTCAGAGCAGAGAAGAGTATCCTTTGTGAGTTCAAGTTGAGACTGAAAGTCATTGTGGTTAGCATTGTGGTTATTCAATGCTATTTCTTTATGATTTCTTATTGTATATTTGGACCAACCATAGTCCTGTCTGTTTACTTTTGGGGAATATCACAATAAAAAGGGCGTATAACATATTTAGGAGTTGTTCCCACCTTCCAGTCTGATGGCCTGTGGGCAGTAGAAGTGCAGCAGGGCGGTCAGGGCACAGCCGTCTGTGTTGTCCTTCAGCAGGTTCTCCACCAGGGGGAGGGACGGAGCGCTACTCTGCTGGGCCTGCTCCCGCCTGTAGCGAGCCTGAAACCATGGCAACGGCAGAAAGACATCACCTATATGTGTCATCGGGATGTAAACGTACAGCTGGCTCTCTGATTGTTGGTGCAAACATCTGCAGACACACCTCTATCTGCATGCACCGGTGCACAGACAACTCAATCATGTAGTAGGTGTTAATTTCAAGCATAGGGTGGGCTTCAGGCTAAACTCAAATATTACAGATTAAATTCAGCATGCAAATAATAAACATCTGGATTGACTTTGTCATCTTTAATATAAATGGATAGAAAAAATGCAATTATAACATCTCAGCACTATTTTGCTCCCTTTGATTGATTCTGAGGAGTGGTTAGGTTTTTTTAGAAGGAGAAAAGGAACACAATCCAACAATTCAATTGTTGTCCACATTATACAACGTATCAACGTGGGATCTAAAGTTGAATAATTTGTGTGGGTGCATTCATGCTTTTTCTGTTCCTGTCTCTCTGGGCCTATAACAAACAGAGACAATACTGCTACATACATCTTCAAGGAATCAAGTTTACCAATTAAATCACAAGATTGGCGTCGAGTTTGCGTTTGACAAGAGATTCGAGGAAGCTTTAATTGCAGCAGCCTTCACTGTCTGACAGCGTCTCTGTCTGTGTTCGTACATCAAGCTCTTGATAACAAAATGTTGTCATTTTAAATTAGATTTGGCTTATATAAACTGGTATTACATCCTTAACAAAATGTGCTTTTAATTCCTAACACAGACAATATGCTACATTAAAAAAAGGAAAAATTGTACAATTCCGGGGTACTAGCATTAGTTTTTAAAATGTGTTAAGTGAAAAGTCTAACACAAGAGACATTGGCTAATTCCCGGTATTCAAATGATCATGCTGCAGGACTGCTCTTCCAGGTGAAGTTTCTGACTATAGAGCTAAGTTTAAAATGGTTATTATATCATTCAGTCAGATTCATAGGCATGTGAAGACAGGGGGCCGGGTGGGGTAATGAGGGAGGTATCAGAGCAATGCATGATGGGGCTCAGGGCCACATGCATTGAGAGATTTGGAGGGGACAATGTGAAGGGGTGCATCCTTGCAGGTTTTGGATTAGACAGAGGAGAGGTAGATGGTGGAGGTTGGTGAAGAAGAGTTCTTCAGAATGGATGGACTTACAGGTACTAATCTCCAGTACCATTTGCTAGGAGACTTGATGGTGGATGATGATTGGACGACAACAGGAGAGAGTGGGAGAGGCGTTAGGGTGACAACAAAAAAATGTTTGCTACTATACAGCTGCTGAGACGGTGGGACAACCCCTCTCTTTACTCTAGTAAAGACTGCTTTACATTTGCAAAGGCTACACAATCCTCAAGTAACTATGTCTCCCAAAGGCTCTACAAAAAAAGTCTGACTCAAAGGGTTCTTTCCTAAAACAGTCTTTGTATTTTCAACCAATGATTTTTTAGAGATGAAGGCATTTAAATAAAAAGCGTAGTCCTTGCATCATCTTACAGTATAAGAAGCTAATACAATGGGCATAGTCTCATCCGAAACATAGAACACAGCCTTCCCTCTTCAGGGAGTCCATTAACTGTTTCTATAGCTAATGGTAGTGTAAATGTAAACACAGTGATTGTTGACCTTTGGTTACATTTCTCTCCTAATAAGGCTCTACAACACAATGGTTGTTAGTTTTAACTTGCTGGTATGCTAATTGGCTAATAAAAACTTGCTATTGTAAATATCAGGGGGAACACAAACATTGGGTCATTTCATAGCAATTATTCCAAGACGATAAGATATTTATCTTGTTGTTATTGAAATCCCAGGGAAGGTGTATCATATATTGGAAACTAATAACCAGTGGACAAATGGTACCAAAAATAACCTAATTTATGAAAAGTAATACAAACCACAAGCTTATATTCACACAGAATCCACCCACAAATGCTGCACTTAGTCACAAGACCAAGACTTTTCACAAAGTCCCAGAATAGACAAGATCAGATCTGAGTAGTGTCTTGTGCTCATCCATGAGTGTGTGTATGAGTGTGTGTGTGTTTGTAAAGGCATATGTGTGTGTGAAAGAATCTTCTCGTCAGTGAATGGACTTCTGTTGAGGCTGGTAATGCTGTGTGATGGAGCGTGCAGTAAGAAAGCAGCTGACTGACACTGAGTGTACAGCGTTTCCTCACACTTTTAAAATACCTTCTTCTTCCCTTGTTGTAACTGGTTTCCTTTCAAAAAGCCAGAGAGAGTGTATATGTGAGTCCGTGTGGGCTAGCATACACAACGTATGTGTACAGTATTATCAGCTCACAGGCCAATCACTTGCCGGCAGGGATCACACTTACTATACGCCTCAAAGCAAAACAATGAGTGGAAGAACATTTGCCAAGAAACTCTCACTGCAGATAAAAGGTCCTTTAAATCTAATTTAGCCACTCATGATATCTTGCAGCTCTTTAAAGAGATAACTAATAGTGATTCAAGGGGACAGCATGTGAGCATATTACAATCTGTAGTATTTAAACAGTTTTGTCTACGATAACGTGGGTTTTTTCAGCTTCCCGTGTGGCTCTAGCAATGTCAGTCCACAAGTCAGGTCCAGACCGAAGACTCTTGGTCCCCAGAGGATGAATTCTACTGACTTTTGGTATCCTGACATTTCTTCTAGCGTCAGCATGAGATTGACATTTGTTGATTTGAGTATAATGTCTCAACAACAATTGGATGAATTGCTATGTAATTAAGTCTCCTGCAGGATAATTTTTTATAACATAAGCGATCTCATTACTTTCACACACTTAGAAAGCGTTAACAAGCTAACATATTAAACTAAGAACGTAAACATTTTATTGAAAAATCAGCATTTTACAATTGTAACTGTGAGCATGTGTCCATGCTAGCATTAGCATTGGGCCAAAAGCACCCCTGCATCTACAGTAAGGACAGCCTTCAGTAGCTAGCATGGCTGTGGACATATATTCTTGTTGATTCCAGACAAAGGTTATCACAGCAGTTAGCAGGAGATAACTTGTAACCACACAGGTTTACATGGGGATAATGGTATTGACAGCTTCAATCAGTGTTTATCTCTTTAACTTGATATTGAATGGCAGGAAGTTTACCAACCCATTTCAATTTGCCACAGTTCTATTTTTTGTTGTGTACACATGCTCGGAGTGAGATAATATGTATTTTTACACTTTTTCACCCCTTTGTCACTGCTGTTGAGCACAGGCCCGAGGCGGGGGTCATGACCTCATAAGGCACTGTGCTGTGGCCTTATGGGTAAGTGAGAGGAAGAGGACAGTAGCTGGCCGCTGTGTGTTTGTCCCAGCAGCCTCGTTGTGTCACATGGACCTTACATAACTCTGAAGCCTGCAGGATGACAACACTGCCTCTGTCTGTCACTGACTCTCTTTAGCTACAGCTGGCAGAGTTCCTAAGTGTCTCTCTCCATGTCTCCCCCTCTGCTGTCATTTCTCCCATTCTCCTCTCTCTGATTTTCCCTTTTCTTCTCACTCTGTTTCATATTTATTTGTCTCCTCTAGCAGCGACTCTTGCCAGCATTTCTCTACAGCCAGTCTGAGACTGAGCTCATCTGTTCCTCTGACTTACAGAGCTCTGTGTTCTGCGCTGTATGTGTGTGTGGACTTAAACCTGTGCTACTGTCTATAAGTAAAATAGGAAACAATCAAAATCTAATATCAACAGACGGGTGATTTACTGTAAGTCTCCTATCAACTTGACAAAAGGCAAGTTTAAGAATCAGACAATACATCAAATAAGATGCAGACATGAATGATTACAAGTCATGTTTATGTTTGTATTGCTGTTTCTGAAGGAATAGCTTGGGGAAATATACTTGTTAGCTCTCTTGCTGAGGGATAAATTAGAAGACTCATATTCTATAGCCGAGGGATTAGGGCGCATACCACATGGGACACTGCCCTGAGAAGGAAGTCTCTGGTTCATTTCTCTGCAGGCTCAAACATTTGCTGCATGTCATGTATCTACAGTACTCTCTTTTCCTTTCTCATTCCACAAAAGCATGAAATTACCAAAATTGATGAAAAATAACATACTGTAGCTCACAAATGATAATGCTGTATTTTCTGCGTTGTATTTGCACACTCACAACCCAACAACAACATTTGGCAGCAGTGACTTCCAAAGTCCTCTAATGATTTAGAGGACATTACATTTAGCTTATTGTGCAAATTAAACTAAACAGATAATAAGTGTTAATTTGTGAGCTTTAGAGAAGCTGATAGGACGATTTCGGATAGCTAGCTGTTTCCCTTGTTTGGAGTCTTTATACTAGGCTTAAGAAAAATGTTGGAATTTCCCTAAAACACAATGTTATTTCACGGTTTGTGTAAGTATGTGTTCTTACTTTGTTGGTTGTTGAGTTTGACTCCTGAATGGAAGTTTCTCTCAGCTTTTGTTCTTCGACAAGTATGTCCCTTAAGTATTCAGTCACCTGGAGAAAGACAGAGACAGGCAGACAGACAGGAGGGCAGAGATCAAGGTCACATTTCAGACACTGAGAGACTGAATGGGCGAGTCTGTGGTGGAGAGGGAAACTTGAACATGAGAACAAGAGGCTCCACACATAGAGATGTCCCGATCCGATCACGTGATTGGGGATCGGAGCCGATCACGTGATTTTCAAAAGATCGGGGATTGGGATTTTTTTCTTTTTTTAAAATCTTTTTTCTTTTCTTTTTTTTTATTCAATGTTACAAAACAAAAATGACCATGTTCAAGTCTTAAAGTAACCAAAACTAAGGCCTCAGGATGACTTTAAGACTTGAACATGGTCATTTTTGTTTTGTAACATTGAATAAAAAAAAAGAAAAGAAAAAAGATTTTAAAAAAAGAAAAAAATCCCAATCCCCGANCCTTTGTGCCTTGGCTGCTAAATTATGAACCATCCAGATCTCTCAGGTCTTCAGGGACTGGTCAGCTTTCTGTCCCCAGAGTCAGAACTAAACATGGTAAAGCAGCGTTCAGTTATTATGCTCCAAATATCTGGAACAAACTCCCAGAAACCTGCAGGTCCGCTGCAACTCTTACTACTTTTAAATCCAGGCTGAAGACTTTTCTTTTTGCCGCTGCTTTTAATTGAACTATTCACATCTTAAACTGCACTGTAACTTTTATTCATGTCTTGTAACAGAGTATTCCTACACTCTGGTACTTCTACTTTTACTCCAAGTCCAAGATCGGAGTACTTCTTCCACTTCTGGTTATTATAGAATACTTTGAACATAGAAAACCAAAGCCAGGGTTACAAAGTGTTCAAGTGATACAGAATCATTTTTAAAAGTACTTGGAAAAGAACAGTAGAAAAACAATTGTAAATCTAGGATCAGTTAAAATCATAAAATTAAAAAAATAGGATAAACTGTAAAGATGAAGTATATCATGTCCATATTACAGAATGATCAGCTTGTGCACGTAGTCGATTGAATAACTCGTTGACCACTAGATGGCGGTAGTATCACTTGAAAGAAGAAGAGCTGTGAAATGATGTTCAGCGGCACTTTAATTAGTTTTTGTTGTTTCAGTGCTATTTTTATTTGGAAAGTTTTATCATAAAGCATTCTAAAGATCAGGGCTACATCAAACAATGATGTTGACTTCAAGCTTCATCTTGAAAACTTCTTCCTTCTCTTTCAACATCTTAACATTTGTAAAACCGAGAGTCATTGTGGGTGAGTTTCATGTCTCTCACATAATGCTTTCCTGTATTTAAAACAGCAACAAATAAGTACGTTGATTGATGTACTTCATGCCCAATCCTTGGCCATCGGCTGTTGGCAACACCAACAAAGCAGAACAAACTAGCGTTTTCTCCTGTCGCATGAATCCATCCCAAATGACAGTCTGGAGCAATGCTCACAGCCACTATTACATCACCTCCAATGTTCTGCACCACTGTACAGAGTGCTTTTCTATGAATAATACAGAGAGACTGTGGAGAGAGGGACCTGGACATGTATAACTAAATGAAAGGGAGTATATACTTTTAGAAAAATGTGATAGAGTCTATGGAAAGACAGTGTTGGAAAGATATTCTGGAGTGGGCTGAATATGATTTATATGATGAATTCACACTGTAAATAATCCCATCAGACACAGTTGCATGGATATTGATTTAACTTTATTGGATTAATTTATGAATCAGACATGCTTCCTTCAACACATTCCTTGATATATCTCAACTGTGTTTATATTATATGAAATACAGATACAGTGCAGAGAGTTGTTGTGAAGGGGAAAAGAGAGATGGCAGCAGCGTGGCCGGTCACACTATCTGCAGGAAGACAAGGTTATAGACTTGTGTGTTTTCCCATGAGAGAGCAGTCTGCTTTAGTATGAAAAGAAAATAACATATTGCAATCTGGGAGGAGCAGACCGGTCTTTTATCATGGCATTCATGCACACACACACACACACACTGGCAGAAAAGCAGACAGTGTCTCTTGAAGCTCAAACACAGATAATGGGACATCCTCAGAGAGGTGAGAACAATCTGCATTAGAACATTGCTTATATCCTGGCCCATCTGAAGTAACCCCAGGGAGGATATTAGAATAAATAAACTTAAAACTAGAACATTATTTTCATGTGCTATAATCTTTTTTTGTTTGCCCTTGACTTTCCTCTCTTTGTCTCTCGCTCATTCTTGCTGGCAGAGTTAACACAGAGTTAACTGCTCGGTGTATAATTAGACAAACAAAAAAGAGAAGGATGAAACATCTAAAGGAGAAGAGACTCCAAATGATTACACATTCACTCCGCTTCCTTCCCCCTTGCTGCACACATAACCACCAATTAGAGGAGAGGAGAGGAGGATGAGGACAAGCAAGCCGCCAGAAGTCTATTTGTGTCTATCTCTCTTCTTCATTTCCTCTCTTCCCCTGAACACTATCCAGCACCGGGGAGGGAGGAAGAGAGGATAAAATAGAAGTGAAAAACAAGAAGTATATAAATAAAGAAATCAGTGTTTCACATCCGGTCGGCTGATTGGCTGAGACGCGAGTCGGGCAAATCTGGGCCACAGTTGCACTCATTGTTCAGTGAGCTTTCTACACAGTCCAACCCAGCGACAGCAATGAATGTTGATTGTGACCTTTGGTCTTTGCGTACAGTGGAAACAGAGTGTCACTTTTGTCTATGCATGTGTGAGTGGTTTCGTGTCTAGATTTTACATGCGCCCACTTTGCCCTTTTGTTCATTTCATTCCAGGCGTCGTCAGAGCAAGCCTCGGGGCACAGTCAACGGTCGATGGTTTTTATGTGATCCATATCAAAACTCACCGACAGCGTTGAATGTTCACCGAGGCAAGCAGGAAGGAGAGTGTGAGCCGAGGTGACAAGACGAGGCAGGATGTGGAGGAGGGAGGACAGAGAGACAGGGAAGGAGGCGAGGATGTCACTCACAGCCCAGAGGTCAGGACGCACAGCAAAGGGACATAATGAAACAGGACAGTGGCAGAATGAGTCCACTGTCCACAGGGCAAACATGCTTCTGCTTATGTTGTACATGATCGTGATGTGTGGTGAAGCTGGAACACAAACTGAGAGGATCTGCTTTATTGCATTACAACCGCCTTATTAACGAGAGGAACTTCATTCATCTCCACTTCAAACACGGCCGTAACAGCATCTGAAACACAGAAGAGGAAGTTGTTAGCACTGATGTTGCACAATATTGTAGAAAAACTGTCCCTCCTCATTTCCTTTTATAGAATTCAGACATTTCCTTTTTGGGGTGAAATGGATAAGTGAAACCAAAACTATTATCATAATAGTAATAATCTAATACCTCTTCCCCTTAGCGTATTGACATCTTTTAGATTGTTGCTTTTAAATTGTCTATCGTTTTTACTTGTACTTGTTTTATGGTGCGTGGGCTGTGCTGTGTGATTTTGTTGTATGTTTTGTTTGTTTATTTGACTGTACAGCACTTTGGTCTGGAGGTTAAATATAATATAAAAAATAAATACTCTACATATTCAAAAGCAGTTCAATAGATGTTTTACTTTCATCTTTAAAGCCATTATTTTGTTGCCCAGAACACTATTAGAGAAATATTGTGGAGCCTGCCACTGTTCTTGTGGACATCTAGTCCGGTGAACAATGCTGCGATGTCCCACTGTGCAGCCAAGCTTTTCAGACCCCAGCCATGCCAGACCACAGGCTGAGAGCTCCTATTGTCAGGAGCAGGGCCGAGCAGGGGAACAACCACCGACAGTGTGGCTGTGCTCCTGCACAGACGGGGGGGCTGACGTCAGGATGGTAAACGCTGATCTATGGTCATTCATCGCACCGCTCCATCGGCTTAGTGTGCTGATGTCATTCAGCGGGCTAGACCTGCATCTATTAGTCTGCTGAGGATGGCAGACATCAGGCTAGCATTATCACACACTGGCTACAATGAATGAGTAATGCATCACGTTATGGCAGCTATAATTCAGAAGGTCATAAAATAGACAGTTTGCTTTTTGTCTGGGTCTTTGAATCATTGCCTATGCATTCTTTCACAGGCATGCTTTGATTTTATGAATATGTAAACATGTACAAATTCATTTGGATGCTCATGGCAAAATACATACAGTATCTAGTCACATAATGTATTATAACATTTACATAATGTATTATAACATGTACAACCACTTAAATGAATAACATGAAACACTATATACATACACGTGTTTTTTGTCCTTGTTCTGCTTGCTTTTTTCTGGTGTGAACTGCAGCATGTGAACTAGAAGTCTCTTTTCTCTCAGGGTGAAGCAGCTCAGATAAGAGACTAAATTCATAAGCCATATTACATCTTCCCTACTCTTTCAGACTGACACACACACACACACACACACACACACACACACACACACACACACACACACACACCTCACCCCACAATAAGCCCTAAAACGAAAACTAGGCAGAGGGTCGAGGGAGAAGAGAAAAGGGGGCTTTGCCATGGCAACCCCAGTGTCAGTCAGCCATTTCTTCTTAATCCCCCGCCCCCAGTTCAATGTTGCGCCCTCTGAGAGACCCCCCTTTCTACAGCTGAATATTTCTTTTGTGTTGAGAGACTCTGTAAATGTGTGTCTATGTGTGTCTATGTGTGTGTGTGTGTGTGTGTGTGTGTGTGTGTGTGTGTGTGTGTGTGTGTGTGTGTGTGTGTGTGTGTGTGTGTGTGTGTGAGGGATCATGGAGGGGGAGGATTGGGGTTAGAGGGGGGGAGATCATAGCTAACCCAGCTTAAACGGGGGGGCCAAGCTGCAGGCCACAGAGTCTCAACATTACATCGGGGGTACCAACTTAAGATCAAATCACACACACACATACACACATACACACATACACACATACACACACACACACACACACACACACACGTGCATATACACATTTAAACACTATATTGATGGAGGGAGATAATCTTCTGAAATGGCAGATAATTGCATCATATGGCAAACAGCCGGGCCCTTCCTCCCCGAGCCTAGCGCTGACATACTCTGCTTTTCTTTTTCTTTTTTTCGCAACGAAACTCTCGTGGTATCTGGCTCTTTCCTGAGCAGGCCACTTTACATTACAGACAAAAGCGGTTTTGGAGGAGTGGGTGGGTAGAGGCGTCAGCTGCTAGACAAAATTAAAAGGCCTCTATTTGTCTCCGACAATAAACGTCCCCATCTTTGGAGCTCCTCCACAGCTGCAGCCAGATAGGCTTTCATTTCTAACTGCACACTAATAGAGAGCAGTGTCTCCTTCCTCGACTATAAGCCGATTTAGTGTGCAGGATAAAAATTCAAGCAGCTTTATAGTCATCTCTCTGAGTTGCCTTTCCAGCGAGGAAGAGGACAATAGAATGTGACACATGGTGGATACTCGGTAATAGAGAAACTACGGATTTTGTGAAGCTGTTTTAATGATGTGCAGTATACCTGGTGGAAATAATCTTCACGGAGTCACAGACATCAAGAGGTGCATTGTGAACACCTATAGATAGAAGACAAAAGCAGATAAAAGACGAACAGTTAGAGGCAAAGCAATGGGCTGGAGACCGACTTCTATATTGCACAGACGGAGGGGAAAAGGCTTTTTCTGACTATCTATTATATAAATGCACAATTAATTTGGTTTTCACTAAAGGTTTCCTAATCAACAGACAATTAATGTCCAGTGCATCCTCCGGAAATCCCAAAACGCTCTTCCCCCGGGGCTGAGCTATGGAAGCGAGGGGAAGGAAGTGCCAGTGGTGTGTCTCTGGGTGGTCCGATGTGGCCGTGGGCGAGACTTTAATGTATCTGCATGTCCACTCCAGTGTATACTGTACATTCAGCCATAATGACTAACAGATTTCCTGTAGGGGCCTAACACGCCCCTCCATGCCTACAGATGCATATGCTCCACTTTAATGGCAGCCTTCAGACTTTATTTGAAGTGTGCTGTGGTGTTTAGAAAAAAAACGGAACCCCAGATTTTTCAGAAGGGTGGAAAAACATGACTTTGACGACCTACAGTGCCCTCGGCCTAATATTTGGCCCTGGTGGGTTCATCATATTAAGTGGCCATTTAAACCATTCAAACTGTGGATAATTGCAGTTTCGCTGCTTTGTGGTGGTTCTGTTTCAAGGGTATAAAAATCTGGGCATGCCAAACATCTGGCTGGGGTATTAAATGTGACATAGGCTGCGGACATAATTCTAAAAAAGTATAATGTCAGGAAAACTTGGCCAAAGAAACCAACTAAATTTGATGGTCTGTGCAGCTTCTAGTACAATTATTTTCTTCTGATGTGTAGCCGACGTGTATATTGTACTTGGCTAACTGTGGATATCTGAGCTGACTTAACGAACCTTATGAAACAGGGAAAATGCTCCATGTAAATCTAGTCTATTTGAGAGCAAAGGGCACATTGTAACACAAGGTGCAGAGTCTGTTCAACAAGTGCAAAAGCATGAACCAAAAGCAAGGGCATGGAGTTAGTGCCTTGGGACTGATTGGCAGGATGGGGTCGTTCCGTGGCCCTTGACCTTGTTAACCCCTAGGAATGTTGTCGTGCTGGTGCATGTATTGTTCCAGCCTCCCTGAGGAGCCCCAGCAGTGTGAACGCTCCTTTCCCCCCCAAAAAAACTCCCTTTTCTTCCCCTAATCCTTTTTTTTCTGCTCTTCATCCTCAGACTTCAATAAACAAAAGGTATCAACAGGTCTACAGCGGGCTGTTGTTCTGAAGTAGGTGCCAGGCTGACCTAAAAGACCTACTAGGATTCAGTAAACAAGAACCTTATCGTTCATCAAATAAGCCACTGTTTTTATAGGTCCACTCTCCATATCTGAGAGATCTGAGTATCTTCAAGCAGTCTGAGAGTCTGGCTCTGGAGGAAGTCACCAGCAGTCGAGGGAGACTGACAGATGAGAGGGCCAGACAGACAATTACTGGCCAGGTATGTCCTTTATATCCACCTAGGGCTGGTCAGAGGAAATTGAGGAATTTATGATGTCATAAAAACATACCACCCGAGATGATAACACGAGACTGAGCGCCCAAGATATATGTGTGTAGTTAAACCCCCCTATATATCGATTGGCAAAATATTTTGTTAACAGCGATGAAGCAAATATGTCATTATATATTAGATTCTAGAGATGGAGAGCAAAATAAATACACAACCTAAGTTCTTTGCATGTAAACATTATTTGTAGGTACTAGCACCATGTCAATATTTTCCTTTTGTGGTTCTTTATACTTGTCCTCGTCAACAATTCAGTAGAAAAGAAATCTAAAAACATACATGCAAACGCATAAATGCTAAAAGTAAGTGATGCTGAATTTATATAAATGTGTTGTATAATTGAATGACTTGAATCTCTTATAATTAATAGTTGTATCCCCAAAGGAAACCCGCTGAAAAACATGTCTAAAAAAATACATTTAAAACTGTTTTTATGTTTATCTCCCTCAATCTCTAACCCCTGTTGTACAGTTGAAACCACAACAAAAACAAACCTTCACACAGGAAACATCTTTAACAAGACGACACCATCTGCCGCCTCACGCTAAGCAGGTGTAAGGAAGAGAAAGCCTTAAACGTTCTATTTAGACATAAAGGACACCCGTTCCTTTTTGTAAGCACGCACACAAATTCACATCTATACGTACACACACACTACACTTCTCTTCCTACTACAAAAAGATAGAGACAAACTCGCAGTCGTATTGCTTGTTAAAATAAAAAAAGGAAGAGAGAAGGCGGTTATTTGCTCTAGAACCTCACTAAGGAGGTTTCCCATTGTAAAAAGGAGTGGCTGCCCTGTTTCCTTTCATCCCTCTCTTTGAGGCACGCTGCCTTTGTCTCATAGAGGACAGAACAACCAGCCTCCCGGCCACGCTACACCGGTCAAATACCAGGGAACTACCACTGGCCTACTGGGAAAAACCACAAGAGGAGGAGGAGGAGGAGGAAGACAGACAGAAAGAGAGGAGGGGGAGATAAGGTGTGAGTGTTAATCTGAGGCGAGACTGAAAAGTCTAGAAAAAAGGTGCGTGTGAAATAAAACCTGTCATTAAGTCTCAGTGGAGCTACGAACACCTGGTAGCAAACTGCACTTCAAAAAGATGTCAGACTTGTTGACACCGAAGAAAAAATGCTATGTATCACTTTAGAAGCTCAAATTATGACCATCTGTTTTTACTTTTCTTTCCTCCTTATTAAAAGGTAGCAACTGTATGTGAGCAGTTAAAGACTCAGAGGTTAGAAAGGCAGGTCTACCGGTTTTTTTCTTTTCCCCCCTTCCAATTCTGCACTTTCATGCCAGCTCAGCAGAATGAAGGAAGTTCCTGTATATGGGGCACTGTATAGGGATAAAGTGAGCTTAAGTCCTCCCCAAAAACAACCGCAGCCGGCTGAATGTAAAGCTTTACGTTCTTGTCCTCACGGACTGCCTCAGCACCCAGACCTCACTGTCACACCTCATAAAGCAGAGCTCAAGCAGTGGGGTTGTGTTTAAAGCCAAGGGGAAAGATAAGGCAAAAATAAGGACAAATAAGAAGGAAAATAAGAACGCCCCTATTCAGGAAACTGTATGTAGCGAACAGAGTGAAAAGCCCTTGACAAAAGCTCTTTAGCTGAAACTCTGATGGCATGTCTCCAGTATGCTGAAAAAGAAAATATACTTTCGGGACAAATTGCAGGATACATAAGGAAGTGAAAAAGCCATTGAGGGATTTTTAACACCATAATCCTCTCTTCTTATTTCTAGTTTTAGCTTAGCTGTCGAGAGGGAAGCGAGGGCCCGCAAGTTTATCTTCAAATAGTCCACAAAGAATGCCTGTCATTTCCTGGCGTTCCCCACTTCCATATGAAAGCCCCCGTTCCTTAAGGAACAATGGGAAAGATTCCAAAATGTCCATTGGGACTTTTTGGCATGGCGATACAATAGAGAGCATGTTGTGACAGAATTGAGACAGGCTGTTTCTCACCTGTGACAAGATCGGAACTAATGCAATGTTGTTGTCTTTCAGCGAGCATACTCCATGATTAAAGCGGCCACACCAAAGCTTCAACATCCCATAAATTAGCTGAGAGTGGAGTCTAATGGAGGCCCTGAATCTGTCTTTGACAACTCACTAGAATATCCTTTATTCATCATACCTAGGGGACATTTTAGAGTGAGTTTCTAGATCCCTCATCCCTAATCATGGTTTTGTTATACATCAATGTGACTCCAATTGCAACCACACACAGTCACACCAAAGCTGTAAGAGTGTATCAGTTAAGTTAAATAACACGTTTGGTCTTTTAGTTGAAAGAGTTCAAATGTCATGTGCTCCTGAACAGGCCAATAGGATCTTAAAGTCACCTGGCTCGACCCAAAGCTTTGGCCTTTGGCTAGACAAGAGGTCAGAGGTCGTCCACTCAACTAGATAGGCAGTATGTCGATATGCCTGAGGCTGGGGCCAGGGGTCTCCACTAACCTAACCTTTCCATTTACCCAACACTGTAGCTGAACTGAAGAAAAGCACAAACACACACATGTGCACACACGGGATTCTGCTGCTATGAACTCATTGGCCCCTTAACCTCATTTACCTGTGATGCATGAACACAAAGCGTATGTGGTAAACAGCTGCGATTAGATCTTCTGCTTTGGATCCATAGATAAGTCTGAGGTGGAAAAAAAGGACACAGGCATTACTTAATTCTTCTGAAAAGAAGTTGACATCTGTAGTTGACATCTGTGCTTTTTATGTCTTCCAGATGACTCAGGGATAATGGATTAAAAAGTTGACATATTGCATTAATGACTTAAAAAGAGGGGAAGCCAGTTTGAAAGAGTTTTTCTTCCTCACACTTTTGCATTGTATGTTCGATCACAGCTGGGAAGATCTGGGGGTCATGTGATGCTATCAAAATGTCCTTTTCACAGACAAAAAAAAAACAATAAGAGTTTTATTTTTTTATTTTACAGTTCTATGAGAAGACGATGATGACGGATGAACGGTGATCTGTGGTTGAGAGCCTCATCCACCGTGATAGCAGGTTACTTCTGACATAATTGCAGGTTGCAGCTGATGATCACATGTGATAATGAATTACACAAGAATGATGATCATAGTTCCAGCAAGAGATTAGAGAAGCCAACATCTAACCACCTCCCTGCCCGCATAACAGCAGCAGGAAGACAGTGGCTTGGCTCCATTCACCCAGCCTGATAACTCTCTGAGAGCAACTCTAAGTGAATGAAGCCAGAGATAAGCACTTTGCTGCTCCACGATTTAAAAATCAGGAAGATGCTGCTTTTTCTCTTCACAAGGGACAAAGTTAATTATATGTAAGTCAGCCTCAAGAAGAATAAAAGGTCAGTTAATCTATTGTTGATTTCTCTATTAAAATAATACATCATTTTCCCACTGTATATGTACAAGAAATGTAAGTGCAAACAGTTAAAAGTCAGCATTTGGTAAGTGCTTGTTTTTCAAAAAAAAAGCCATGCATTTTTCATTAAGAGCACGCTTAGTACAATCCATAGCCGGTTAAATGCAGTGCTGCACTAAGCGTCAGAATCTACTTCTTCCAAATGGCAGAAAGAATTTATGGAGACTGCCTCATTAACCTTAAGGCATATTAGTGCTTGGCACTGCATGCTGAGAGCTAAGCAAGACAGATTGTCTCAGCTGCTTTAGAATAATCAGAAGGGTCAGAGCACAGTGGCACAGTGGACCCAAAACTGAGTATAAAACGCTTGTGATGAAGTGTGTTTATTTGGTCAGTGCATCCTCTCAGTGTGCCCACCCTGAAAATGGCAGTCTGGCTTTTGTGCCATGTGCTGGAGGCCCAAATCCGGGAGGAAGTCAGATGCGCGCAGACTGTTTCCGAGAATGTGGGATGCGCACAGCCACGCTTACAGTCTGAACATTTTAAATGACTGTCTGCATTTAAAAAAAATGCAAACATTTGAAAAAACGCGCATGCATTATGTTGAAAATCACTAAACACTATATATTTTAATTGCATCAGTTTTTTCTTTCTATTTTGCCTATTCATTACCGGGCTGAGTTACGCACCCGTCCACAGAGGGATACCATCATGAGTCACGGCTTGGCGAGAGACGGGTGGCGGCTGAGAATGATCGCTGTCTGCTTTCTGCTCTTCAGGTGTCTCACGCAGATTATTTGGGGCAGGAGGGCTGCTGTAATGTCCATACAAAGACAGATGGTCCACACAAAGCCGGTGCGCATTGTTCAGCTGGAATATAATAGCCCCGATTTATCAGTGTTCGCCGACTTTCAGGCCCCATACACTGTGTGGTGAGTGAAATGAATCAAAGTTGTATTGTTTGGGAGGCTCCCAGTAGGATTCCTTTGGACTGCACCGGCTGTTTAAACATAATCTTAAAACTTTCCAAGCAGCGGAAGCAGCATTTATCTGTACACTGTGTAGTCTACCATTGACGCGTCTCGCAAAGCGTTATAAAAGTTGTAAAGTGCAGAAAAAACTGCCGAAATCTCGTTTTTTCCCTCTAGTCACACGGAGGCTCTTATGAAATGAACCGGAGACACGCTTTTCTATTCGCTGTTAGTTTCACATGCGCTCATGTTGGAGACGTAAAGCCCCCTCATTAGAACCGAGCGCCAACCCAGACCCCGGCACACATTATCACAGTTACACAATCATCCCATGTGGATATTCAGCAGAATATCTACACTTTATTTAGATACATTGATTAATTATAGACGCTTGATTTCTAAATTCTAAATACAGAATCGGTTTGCATAATTTTAACTGGATTAAACAAACAGACAATGCTTACTGTTTTTAGGTTATCCTACATTTTACATGGTGGCATACTTACGCCATTTCCCTTCCCCGGCTGCAGGTAAAACTGCAGGATTCAGACTCCAGTAGAGGTGGACTGATGCGTTTTCTTCAAGTCTGCCACAGTGGGTATTTTCACTCTCATCACTTCCGTCCGAGTCCAACTCTCCACCGACTGAGCCCCTGCCTCTCGGATCCACAGATTACGTCTGTTTGAGAGGCAGGAGGGAGGGCATCCGGTTTACAGGGATCACCAGGAGGACCGGCATTGGCTCAGAGGAGATAGCTTGATAAAATGCGTGCCTGCCATTGGACGGCAGGGCAGGAGGGGAGGGGGCAGTCGTGTATTATTCAGGAGAAACCGGGTGGGGAGTGAAAGAGGAGGATACTCAAAACGGAATATGCAGACAATGCCTTGTGTCTCAGAATTTCACATTTCATTGGTGGATTTATTCACCACAGTTTATGGTTTCCAATAATCTCATCAAATGGACTAACAGGCTAATTGGGGCATTTATGATAACCCAATAGTGTTTGTATAGCTGTTAGTATATTTATGACCTCAGAGTTCTGAACATGCACTAGGATCACTGTAATAACCACAAATATACTTATAGGAACATTATGGAATATTAATAAAATAATATTTATGAAAGATCAGAAGTGGATTTCTCTTTCAAGTTTTTCTTTCTAAGTCTGTTCTATTTTTAAATAAAATTAAACATGCTGGACTCAGACGATGGAAGTGAAAATGTATAAATTAATCAAACAACCCTTTTTTTGCATCAAACATCAAACCTAAAGAAAGCGCATGTGTGTTTGTGTCTGCACATGGGACATTTTGTGTGTGTCCATGCATGTGAGTGTGTCTGTGTGAGAGTGTGTTTGTGTGTGTTTCTGCTGTATGTAGGCTACGAGACAGCTGGAACTGCAGAATTTTCCACACAGGAGTAGGGGAGGGAATGGTGCATGGATAATTCTCTCTTCAGATCCTCTGGTACTCGCTCCGAGAGTACTCAGCTGAATCAATACTGCTCAAAGCTTTCTCATGTTCCCTCTCACATCAGTGCTACTGTTGGGAGTCCGGGGCAGACCATTTAGGTGTTTTCTAGAGATGATTATTTAAATTATAAAAGCCACCACTTCTTCTTGGATAATTGCAACGCTAAATCACCCTTGACCTACAGGCCTCCCGCATCACACACATTCACATCCAAAACTGTGAGTTGTTAACCTGCATACTGAGCCGGTGTGTGAGCAGACAGAGAAATCCTAATAGCCACAGTAGGGGCTCTTCTCTCTCCGGTAGTCATGGTGATTGAACACATTTCTCCACACATCAAGAGAGGCGGCCTGTCTGTGCTGCACCACACAGGCCTTTATTAGGCCCAGACCCTTGGACTGGAGGGAAGGAAGCACCAAGTGGAGGATCACACCCATTTTATTGTGACTCTACAATTTTATGACAGTCAGGAGGCCGTCCACCACAAATTAGTTCTTTTTCGGGAAGACTCTCTGCTCTTGTCTCGGTTAAACCGATAAAATGGCACGCTCAAATCTCAACAAAGCGGCACATCATCTGATTATTGTGCGGATTTGAAGGCTAATTTGCATAACTGGTGGGAATGATGCTCTCAGAAGTATAGCACCTAGATGTATTCAGTATTCAGTCTAATTTCTAACATCCATACGAGAGCAGCAGCCTTGGCTTGATTTCCTTTAAGCTTCTAATCTCTTTTTCCTCTTAATTTAGCTGCAGCTTCAATCACAGCTCTTTCACAAATCTAACCGCGTGGGAGTTTATGTGTGTGACTGCTATCATGTGAAAACCTTATAATTCCATAGTCGGTGAAAGTCATATCTTCATTTTAATTCAAGGGTCATGCGGTTGTCAATGGGTTTTAAGATTTTGGCACCACTTACTGATAAGGCAACCCGAGCAACAATTCCATTAATCTTTAACTTTTAATTCAGTTATAAGCCGTTAATAAGGACGTACTTGGCTGGAGTTTATTTTTCAATGGACCCGCCTCTGAAACACTTCATAGGATCCATTTCACTGTGTGTGATGTGTGCTCTGCGTGTGCGACCATTACATTGGGTTTCATCCCTCTATAATTATTAACCACAAATGAACATTGATAACCTGAGACTTCAAGCCTCACTAGAAAGTGGAAGAAGTCACACCCACTACATTTTAAATGCTAAACAACACATAATGTTTAAATTAAAGAAGCCACAAGCATTTGTGCATGCTTTCATATTCTCTATAAACAGATTCTGCATATAAAAGTTGCACAGGCGATGGTTGTATGCAGGGAAATAGTTTGTGTGAGGAGAAAAAGAGGCACAATACATAGGCCGACTGTTATCAATGAGCATCGCACGGATAATGGAAGTCTTGGCCTGGATATCCGCTGGCTCCACCACAACCTGAAAAACATTGCCCCTTGCACCCAGAGGCTTATTGTCATTTTAGGATGAGTTCCAGGATTAATGGATTACTAACATTTATGCATGCATGTAGCCTATTACCTAAAAAACAAAAACAAACAAGTCAACCTGGCAATACAGAAGCTGTTCTCGATTTAAAACTAATATAAAGCTTTAATTGGTAATTGGTAAATGGACGGTATTTATAAAGCGCTTTAACCAGTCTTTGAAACCCCTCAACGCAGTTTCACATTCTACAAGTCATCATTCACACCTCATTCAAACACTGTTGGCCATGGAGATATATAGGCAAGGTCTCGATCCCACAACCTTCTGATAAAAAGACGGCCACACTACCCCACAGTCACAGTCGCCCAAATCAAGACTATGTTACTGTTGGATGAATTAATAAAACGTTATTGTTCCTAAAATAAAAACATTGCATTCATTGTATTCCATTCCACTTAACTCAAAACACTACACCATAGCTTATTGTGGCTAATATTGTCTACTATAATGTTAGCAAACTAGATCTTGTTGTGTTTGATAATGTTGAGTCAGATCGCTTGTCTATGACTCCTTTCGGTGGTGGCGAAGTCGATAGGGACTTGGCTTGGCAACTGGAAGGTCACCAGTTCAAGTCCCAGCAAGACCAAGTGCTACCGAGGTGTCCCTGAGCAAGGCACCGTTCCCTACACTGCTCCCCGGGCGCCGTTCAAAATGGCAGCACACTGCTCCTAACACTAGGATGGGTCAAATGCAGAGAAACAATTTCCCCACGGGGATTAATAAAAGTCCATCTTATCTTATCTTTTGCAAGTGTTTACCCAACGTTTAAGCATGTCGCCAATAAACATTTAAATATGTGTTTTCATCTATTTGAAAGCTCTTCACGTTTACATTCATATGTGTGTGATCCAGACTCTAGTCAGCCCTGGACTTAACACAAATGGAAAGTGTCCGATGTGCTACTGTTGATTACCATGACAACGTATTAAGCTGAGGCTTAAAACCATGGCTGTCCCATACTGTGCCTAGTAAGAGTGACATCTCCAACTGCTCCAGTAATGAGCTGTCTAACATGCTGTCATCCTCCACAGATGGAGCACATACTGTACAGTAGGACACATTTCAGATAATTAGTCAGGCAGACATTTGAAAGGAATATTTTCACATTTTAGGAAATATGTGTATTACCTTTATTTTTTAGAGTTAGACAAAGAGATTGAGAATATTGTCGAATAAGTGAGTGGTAACACTTTTCTCATCTCAAGGCCTTTGCCTTTGCACAGTCTTCAAAGAGTTCAGAACAGTCATTGTATAGTGTGTAATCCATCCTCTGGGTCTGAAAGACTGAGGCTAATGAAGAAATGCTTAAATCTGAATGTCCAGTATTGAGCTACTCCACCAGTTGCTAGAAGAAGTCTGATTGTATAGAAGTCTATGAGAAAAAGGATCCTACTTATCACATGATTTGGTACTTCACTACACATTCTCCCAATTAGTCTATGGTCTTATTAGCTTGTTTCAAGTGTGCTCAAATTCAAAATTATGTTCATTTTGTAAATGATGGTCCCATTTAGGGTAAACAGACTTTAAAGAGGCATTATGGCGGGTTAACCTTTTTAATGACAAGCCAATTCTGTATTGTGCACTCACGTAATACATTTAATCTGTCACAACTAATAGAAGAAGACAATCTATCGGACTCTGTGTTCAAGGTTTCAGTGCGTAATGAGTTTTTCATATAGAGTATGCAAAAATCTTAAGTCTCAGCAAAAAAGTAAATGAATGTATTTTCCAAAATGTCAAACTATTCCTTTAATATTTAGCAGTCAAACCTTTATCTGCCTTGCTAGAGTTACGTGCACATGGCCACCATTAAAGGCCCAGTGCTTTGTAATTTGGAAATCCAGATATCAATTGTTTTTCTGAAAAAGAACACTGGGGTGTATTATCAATACCAATCACAAACAAATCGTTTTTTGTTAGTTTTTTTTTGCCCTCAAACGTAAGTAGCTATAAAATCAGGGTAATCATTAGACACACACAGGTTTTGTTTACTTGATGGGTCAGAACGTCTTCATATAGCTGTTATCTGGTAACTGTTCTCATGCAGCTAATTGCCACCACAGTGTAAGCACCTTATCTCACATCATCAACAGTATGGCACAATCCCCGGCAACCCCGGACCACCTCCACTAACCCGCGTACAACTCTGCCATCATGGATGCCTCCTGTCGGGTTTCATTCTTGCTCGATGCCAAGAACAAATTCTGCGTCTCAATTAATCACTGAGTTTCTAATGGAATGCTTCCCTTCAGGATGAGGCCCATCACAGAGGGGGCTGCCGTCAGTGCTGTCTGTGAAGCTGCTCTGATTGCCTTAATACACTCCCAGCTTTGGAGTCACTGCAGATGTCTGCTAATTGTGGTGATTATGGTGAACGGAGGGGGGTAGGAATATGTAATGAATTTCCCATTGCTTTCATGCCTCACATCCTTTGGTTATGTGCATCTGCTACACAAGCGGAGCATCCGCAGGGTTTGGAGACGGACAAAAGTGAAATGGGGGATTGGGCATGGGCTTTTGGACGGGCAGCTATTCTAGCGGCAAGTGCAGCCAGATTGGGACCATTTATTCTTTTACTTCTGTTCATTCCTGCTACAATGCTGGTTTTAATTCCTCTGCACTTCTGCTCTATGCTCTTGTTCTGTCACCTCTTTTCTCC